AGCACGACGTAGGGATGGATGCCTTGTCGCGACATAAAGCACGCCGTTATTGGTCGGCTTGTTAGGTAACACATTACCAGCAGTGAAGTGAAGGATCGTCCAAGACCATAAGACCGAGGAAGACCATGGCCTTGATGATCGAGTCTAAATTCATCCTGTAAGACACAATCCCAGAACGAGAGTGGGAATCCCACACCTACCATTACCATCAGATGGTGGCTGCGGGCTGCTGGCCTGAGGGACCATCGGCCGATCATACGTCACGTCCTCACAGGCAAGCACAGGCAAGAACGTCTGGCATGGTGCCGTTTCCGAGAAAACCGCAACATGGGTTCATTTGTCTCATGAAAGTGAGAATTTTTTTCTGCACATTAACGACAGCCGTTGTCCCATATGAGGTCAAGGCATATCACCAGGAGATGATCCATACAGCTGAATCCTTTGCTTAGTCATGGTTTGGCGTTGTGTTTCGTGTGACTGCAAAATGGACATCATTACAGTACCTGGTACACTCAATGGTCAACGTTCAACAGGAAGTATTGGATACTGCCGTCGTGCCACATTTTGATAACCATCCCCTCGCCAGTGGGGAGGATGGATGACAACGCTAGACTTCACTGTTGTCATGCCGTCAAAGACCATTTGCAGACCAACATCATCGAAACATTACCATGATACGCAAGAATATGAAACCCGCAGGGAACCCACTGGGTAATGGAAGAGTGAGTGAGTGAGTTACGATTTATCATCACATCGGCAATATTTCGGCCATATCGTATCTTTGAAAAAATACAAAATTCATAGTAAACGCAATTAAATTATAAAGTAAACTGTTGACGACAGACAGTAAAATAACTAGATTATCACTGATAGAGAATTAAAACTAGCATGTAACTGTAAGATTAAACAGATTTATGAACAATACATACTAGGGACCATAGGGACTTTTAGTACCCTTGCTACCTGCATGGACCCTAGCTGAATTTACACCATTCCCTCGGCGACTGGTGATATTAGACAATATAGCCATAAATTAGAATCACACATACTACGATTAAACTTGTGGTAAGAGGATATATACTTTGAATGTTTCGATACTTACATGCCCTGTCAGGAGGAGGGTATTGGAAGAGGAATCCAAAGCATGTGCAATACAATGTAGTATGATCGTAAAAATATGAGTGGGATTGAATAATGCGCATGAGCCAACCCCCAACTCCCAACCCCCCAAACAAACAAACAAACAAAAAACCAACAAAAACAAAACAACAAAACTAAACCAAACAAAAGGTAAAACATTACATTAAAAAATAATAATAAAAATAAAATACATGTACATAGCACAAAAAACCCAAAACAAACAAAAATAACAATAAAACAAAACAACATCAACAACCGTCAACAATCCCCACATGAAAATCAAATGTTTTTTTAATTTTTCAATTAGAACTGTTTTACAGAGGAACAAGAAGTTCTTGGGATTTATTCAAATACGAGAGCACGTGATCTGCCAGGCTATTAGAATCTCACCTTACTCTTTCTGTCACAGATGTCACTGGCGAATGCGTATCCAGTACGTTTAATATAGACCTATTGTTGGGTTATAGATTTGTCCTTACCACATATATAGTGGGCGCAACAGCTTGTGAGGCGTGTTAGTTTATACCGTGGAATTAAATTAGAGTTGAATGAGTTTCAGCGTGGGTAAAGTCAGTGCGCGATGTTTTCATCGGAAAAATGCACAAACTGTAAAAGAGGAAACAGAATTAAAATAAAACCATTTTGCCCCCCTTGCTGCCATCCAAAGTATGTGAAATGTTTGTAGTTCTCGCTGACATAGCCGCAGATAATGTAATCGTCATAAGTAAGTATCACTTCTTTCATTGTTTGATCAAGCACTTGGTATAAGTGACATCAAACTCGGCCACAAATATTGTATGCCTGTCTGAAAGCTTAACCGTAACCTAACACTGTCTTACAGCGACGTTTACGTGTACACGTTCACTGCATGCGGATACAGCATTTTGATAACGTATATGCATAAAGTTAGAAATTAAGTCATTAAAGTAAACCCTTATGTTCAACAGTGAGTATGTTTTACGCTGATTTTAGCATTATTCCAGCAATATTACGACGGGGGCACCAGAAATGCGCTTCACACATTTACCATCTGGGGAATCGAACCTGGTTCTTCGGCTTGACGAGCGAACGCTTTAACCGGCAGCCTACCCCATCGCCCCTTGAGTTCAAGACAAGTTGACACAACAAAAGCATTATTATTAGCCTGCTGACTGACGCCCCAAGCCAATAAAGCTTCATTATTGATCAGATAGACATAAATGTCAATCAGGTTGCAGTCTATTTATTCATGTCCATTCAAATGAAATATTTGCATATTCATTGCATGTATTGCCGAATCAGAATGCAACATGTTACATTCTAACGTCAACCAATTGTGTACGTCCTGCTCCTGTTAATATCATAATGTATAAAACTGTGTGCTGGTTTAACGACGGTCGACGTGGTAGGGACTTACGGACTTGGCCGCGTCATACCAAAAGACGTTAAAATGTGGTACTTGTTGGTCCCTGCCTGGCGCTCGGCATTATGGGTACAACAAGGACTGGTCGGCTCGGAGTCAGTATAATGTGTCTGAGTGGGGTATTCATGCTTCACTGCGGCATGGTATCTCAGTGGGCTAGCACTATAAAACCAGCTTAAGCCTGGGCTAGTACAAGCAGCCGCGCATCCACATACACAAGCATGCACGTCGTCATATGAGCGAAATATTCTCCAGCACGACGTTAAACCCAATTTCACCTCACCTCACCTCACGGACTTGGGACACTGTTACTTGGTCACCTTCTTGGTGGAGGTCTACCAGTGTCCGTTATATAAAGGCTCCAATGTCTCGTGTTCCCGTATGGCCAGTCTGTGACCGTGTTACGTCATTACTGCTTTAATAGCACATAGGCGACGTAACTAGTAATACGTAACAAAAGGTCAATTAATCAATGAAAAACTTTATTCGCAGTCACAGGTATTTGAGACACGAAGAAACGAAAAGGATTTAAATACCTTTTTTAAATTCTGATTTTATTTTTAACATTGTACAGCAATTTCCCTTACGTCATTCCTCAAACTCTATAGCTTTCGTTTCGCAACGGAGTGACCACGTATACAGTTACAGTATATACAGCTGTGCACCTATAGTCAGAGATTGACGACTATGTGTCCACAAAGAAAGCACATCTGAAGGAAATAATATGTAAATGCTGGACTTCCTCAAAGATGGCATCTGTGTAAAATGGGTAAGGTGATACCAGTGAACTGTTTCATATTTAGATCAATATACATCAATCTGTTTCATACTTAGATCAATGTATATCAGTCTGTTTCAAATTTAGATCAATATATATCAATATGTAAATGAGACCACAGCCGACGGGTATGGTCTCAGCTCTCCATTGAACACAATGGTTTTACTTACACAAATCTTCTATTAATATAATAATAATAATACCCACGCGTGTGTGTATGTGTGTGTATTATTATTACATTAAAAGAACGTTTGTGTCTGTAAAATCAGAAACCACATTACATCGGATACAGTCCGTTTGATTTCATTTGAGACCGATGAATTGCTCACTAACACAAAATCTAAATGCAACAAATCCAAATTTTGCACATTCACATGAAATTAACTCTGATGATTTGTCTCATAATTTTGGGCACCCGAATAAAAACGTTGTTCAACAAATGATTATTATTTTGTTGTCACGTATCTCTATGTTCATATGTGGGGACCACTTGCTGGTAGAACAGCCAGGGAATCAATAAACGTGTGTCGTGAAATTTCAATTTCACACGTTCAACTCGCTCACCTGACTGTTCTACCAGCAAATCCCCCCGCCCCCCTCTTAGTTATATATTGGTAATCATATAATCAGCAAACTACAGTGAAGTTAGCGTTAGTTATTTGCTGACTAATGTCTGGATATCCGTCACAACCATTTAGGTAGGACAGTGATAAATACAATTTCACTCGTATACCAATCTAAGGTCTGTGACAGATATATGCATACAAGTCATTACAAATACACTCATATTCAAAACATGACATATATACACCCAACATATATGTAGTTGCTAAAAGCAGCACAGTTCAATACGATCGTTGTAGTTTGCTTTCCTGTTCGCCAAAGCCAACTGAAGTTTACTGCAGGGTAAGCATGGTAAGTGCATATTCATGTATTTCTTGAACATTTATCATTAACACGTTTATTCTCAAACTATAAGTTTACTTTTAACACAACCCTATATTCGTGTTGTTCATCTAGATATCCGTGTCACGTGAGCCATCCTTTAAAATCATAAGGCAGTTCCGTCACCATTACCACATTCGTAATCGTCTTTTATTATTGAAAGTGTCCATTGCATTGACATATGCAATTCAAAGTCTGGAACTTGGGGCTCAGTGAACCATTCAACTGGGGCGATTTCTTTCTACATACAAACTAACAATAAATGTAATTGTTAAGTTATTCCGAGTATCCTTTACTATTCTAAGGTGAGGTGAGGTGAAGTTGGGTTTAACGTCGCGCTGGAGAATATTTCGCTCATATGACGACGTGCATGCTTGTGTATGTGGATGTGCGGCTGCTTGTACTAGCCCAGATTTAAGCTGGTTTTATAGTGCTAGTCCACTGAGATACCCTGCCGCAGTGAAGCATGAATACCCCACTCAGACACATTATACTGACCCCAAGTCGACCAGTCCTTGTTGTACCCATTAATGCCGAGCGCCAGACAGGGACCAACAAGTACCATATTTTAACGTCTTTTGGTATGACGCGGTCGGGGATCGAACCCGCGACCTTCCGCTCTCCGGGCGGACGCTCTAACCACTACACCACGGAGGCGGTACTATTCTAAGGAGTATATATTCCCTGAGCTTTGCCTCCATACGCCAAAAGTAACGTTGAGTTTCCCGTCATATCCTATGCATATTCAGGCTTCACAAAGTCATATGGCTTCACAAATTCATCTGTGTCCAGGCTAGGAACAGGTCCACTGAGAAACCTGTTGTCAGCCTGTGTATGGGAGTGTTAATCGTCATAGCGAAGGTTCATGCTGACAATGCATAACTGTACAGGATCACATCCACAAATCCTGTGTTTGATTTTTCAAGAACTTCTGTCGGAACTGCACAAGCCCATACAGATCCTCGATAAACGTACTGAATATGATAGGGCATGGTTCGGCATTTTTGAAACATTCCACAGCTTTTGATCCATTGATTGCGAAATACATGTTTGTTTTGGTGCTTGTTAGGGGGAAGATAGCGTAAGAAGGTCCGAGAAGTACCGTATATAAATACATCAGTAATCCAGAAGAATGGCGTCATCAAAGACGCCTTGTACAAGAGTGGTACCATATCGCCTTTCAATACCACTGCATATCCACTGCAGTATTTAACGGGGTAGTAAACGTAGTGTCTGTATGTATAATCGTCCAACATCCACTTGCCGTTCCTCATAACATTTGAATAGGTCATTCTGTTGCATATCACAGCATGGCGTGTCTCAAACTTCGGAAATAATGTGCAGAAAAAGTTGTTAATGTCGACATACACGTCATCGTCAATTTTGATGACGTAGTTCACATTTCTACAATGTCGGCTGATCCATTTGAATCCAAATACAGTTTTGTAGGTAAGGTTTCTGTAAGTATCAAGAAACTTGCCTTGGAGTATATCCCTGTGTTGTTTCGTCTCGATTCTGATGTCGTTTTGAGTGCGTCTTACAAATTTAACCGGCCATCCGATCAGAAACAGGACTCGTTTGGTGTGCTTCTTGCTGATGACGTCACTTGTGAACATATCTCTGATTACATCTCGCCTCTTCCGGTTCGATGGCTCTGTGATGACGACAAACAGTGCGTCAACTCTTGCAGCTGAAGAGCACAGATCACGATTCTGCCGAACAATTTTGAAATTTGGGTCGGATGATTGCCTTAAGGTTTTGGATTTCCTTTTAGGAGATGCGATGTAGATACGAGACAGATCATCTCCCCATAAGCTTTGTTGTCCATACACCATATTCAAAGTGTGGTCAGAGCGTTTATTAGCGAACCCAATCAACACCAGTGTGATGATCGTATGTATTATTGTAAAACAGGCCATGCAACGGAGGTGTTCGCAGGTCATGGTTGTTTTAAAAGAGTATGGAACTAACCGTTGGTCAGTTGGTTCTAGGTCATTCCAAAGTTTGTCGTTTGCCTGTGAGCTTAAATTTTATTATACACATCACTAGAGCAGTTAAAGGAAGAAGCTTTTCCCGATTCACAAGCCACTATTTGAACGTACAGGTCCACAGTGAAATGTCACAGTGAAATGCCACGAAACATAGTCACCAGTTGAAGGCCGTTTTACGTATTTACAGTGTTAACTATTAGCTTGAAATCATTTCGTATTATAGATCAAATATCATAGGACGCAGTCGATTTCTTTACAGGTAAGTCATAAGGGTGAGTTGTGTGAGTGAGTTGGGTTTAACACCGCTTTTAGCAATATTCCAGCGGGGATACCAGAAATGGGCTTCAAACATTGTACCCATGTGGTTAATCGAACCCGTGTCTTCGGCGTGACGAGCGAACACTTTAATCACTAGGATACCACACCGCCCCTATGCGATAAATGAGCCTTGTGGAGTGCTATAAAAGAATCCAAGCGTTCAGATGCTGGTGGTTTCAGTCTATGAATCGTGAGCCTCCTGCTTCTGTCCGCAGCCGTTTCTCTCGTAGACCAAAGAACTTCTCGAATCAGTTATGTAATGTTTAGAAGGTAAATACTCCCCTCATACTTGCAGTCATTATTATAAATTCTGTTGTGTCCTATAACTAAAGGTAGAGACCGTCGTTCAAAAGAGACATCCTTTCCAGCATCTTGTCCTGTCCTGTGACACCAACAGTCATACACGTCAGTACTCCTGAAAAAGAGACGGCTTCACTGTCAAAGATATTTAGGACATCACGAACTTAGACGATATGGAATGCCAGTTTGAGATACAAAGATTTCTTAAGCACTGTTTACATGAACACTTAGAAAGTACTGTTCAAAATAAAATTGAAACAAAATTATTGTTCAACAAATCTATAGGTTTATCGATGTAATACTTTATTTTTATTCATTTTCAAATGCACAACCTAAAACTAATATATTAGGAAAATGGTACAGTAGTAATTACAGATATGTTTGAGTGCGCTATGAGCTTATATATGTGGACTTCTTGTATAGGAAGTACGAATATGCTTGTCCCAAGAGCGATTTGGCGGCGTGGAGTTAAGAGCTGAAGTCTGGACCAAGCAAACCAGGGACTGATATTAAGAACAACACAATGACAGATCTGACATAGTCAGAGCGCTTAATTGATTCAATGGGAAAACTCACCGCAATGTGTAGCTATATAATTCAATGGGAAAACTTACGGCAAAGTAGATCTATATAATTCAATGGGAAACCTCACAGCAAAGTGCAGCTATATGATTCAAATGTGAAAACTCACAGAAAAGAGCGCTTATTTAATTCGATGGGAAAATTCACAGCAAAATGTATCTATATAATTCAATTGGAAACGTCACGGCAAAGAGTAACTATTTGAATCAATGGGAAAACTGACAAAAAAGTGAAACTACTTGATTCAAATGAGCATCGATCTAAGCAATTGGGATATGATGACATGTGTCAACCAGATCAACGGGCCTGACCACCCGGTCCCGTTAGTCGCCTCTTACGACAAGCATTGGTTACTGGAGATCAATTCTAACCAGGATCTTCACGGGTCATATCACAAACAAACTAAGCAGAATAATGTTACTCTATGTGAGATGTCAGTGACATGTGTGATGTTTTACAATCGAATGTTAAATGTGTCATGGCTGATCACATACCACAAACCTACTACCGTTCCACCATCGGACAAACCCTGGTTTGATCATGATTGATAGCAACGTCGATTACGAGACAGTCACAGAAAAAAGCCATACGTTCTGGTAATATAACTATAAGTACCAATGAAAAGTTTGCAAAGGAAAGCTGTTAATTCAAATATTATATTATTAGATACGCTACTATTAATAAATATTCTAAATTACTGAGATACATTTTAGAAGATGATCCCGATGTTGCCTCTGGTAGCGCTTTTACTGATACTAACAAGGCTGAAATTGTGAATGAATCATTTATTTCTATAAGTAATGTTGAAGCTAATAATTAATCTTGTACCTTCCCCCGAAAAGCGTCGTGAATCCTTTCTTACTGATATCACCATAAACGAACATCTAATATTCACCAAGTGATAAAAACAGTGGTCTTGATTACAATAATCATATATTGTTAAAGCAGCTCGTTGATCCAGCTACGTTGCATAAGAAAGAAGAAAAATGTCTTCCCTTAAATTATAAACCAGTAAGCTTACTATACATACATATGTGACTTGTATTTAAACGTTTACGTAATCATCTTCATGGATACCAGCTTTTCCGAGTTCGTCAAAGAAGACTGTACTGTCTCACAGTTGCTTGAAACATATACAAACTTTCTTTCTTCTGTTGACAAGAACAAAATGAATTGTATGATATTTTGTTATGTCGCTAAACCGTTTGATAAGGTTTGGCACAAAGGTTTTCAACATAAACTTGAAAAATATGGCATCCATTGTAAACGCTTACCTTGGTTAAAAGATTCTAGGCAGAAACAAAATGTAGGAAATGGTTGCCTATTCAACTAGGGTTCCCCAAGGTTCTGTTCTGGGCCCCTTTCTACTTCTAGTATAAAGCACCACTTTGGGGATCATTATTTCAATTCAACTCCTGTATTTTCTCTTTATTTTCCGTTCGTGCATTTTAGGAATACCACTTGGATCATGATAGGTCTTTCCTCTTCAACGTATAATTGGCATGTTAAATGTAATCCTGACAAAACAACATTGAGATTCCTAAGTCACCCAAACAATATTGCCAAAGGTAAGTACTTAATTGGTATCTCGAATTAGTGTATATCAGGAAACGTAAGGAGATCCCCTCTTAAGCAGATGTAAAACTAAGCAAACTATGTACTAAATTGTCAACATCCTTTGTCCAGCTGCTTTCTGAATACCCCTTTACCACCGAGGGTAGTCAACATTAATCACCATAATCTTAGAGTGAGTGAGTGAGTATGGTTTTACGCCGCTTTTAGCAATATTCCAGCAATATCACGGCGGGGGACACCAGAAATGGGCTTCACACATTGTGCCCAAGTGGGGATTCGAACCCGGGTCTTGGGCGTGACGAGCGAACGCTTTAACCACCAGGCTATCCCACCGCCCCTCCATAATCTTAGAACCAGAAACAATGGTTAGTGTTCCAAACGCTCGAACTATAACTTACCAGCATTCTGTCGAACTTTCGAACTAGAGAATGGCCTTTCTGAAGATTGTAAACTTTCTTCCACACTTCCTGCTTCAAGTGCAATGTTGAACCGGAAACAAATTTACTCCCGTGTAACTACATATCGTGGCATAGAAGAGCAAATACACTTCGATTGAAAACTGCTGTAGTTCCCTAAAAGCAGATCTACGCATGAGCTTTCTATGGGTGTGTTTTTTAATTTCCACACCATATGTTACCAATGACGTCTTTATTACAGTAACGCTGACAAAGGAACCGGTTACGGCAATGCAACACAGTGATATTACCGAACCAAATACAGTTCTGTCAACATGGGAAAGTTCCACTTACCTATGACCGAACATTGAGATAACTTCTTGTGGTGTTTACGTGTCCATGATTGATTATGTGTTTACTGGAGGCCTGGAGTTGTTGTTGAATGTGTGTGTTGCTTGGATGACACATGTGGCCAACCCGCCATGTTGTTACATCGCTATCTCAGACATGCATCTGGGGGCGTTGGGGTAGCCTAGTGGTAAAGCGTTCGCTCCTCACGCCGAAGACCCGGGTTTGATTCCCCTCATGGGTACAATGTGTGAAGCCCATTTCTGGTGTCCCCCGCCGTGATATTGCTGGAAAATTGTTTAAAGCGGCGTAAAACCAAACTCACTCACTCAGACATGCATTTTGTTTTTGTTTGATTGTAACGCTGCACCCAGGAATATGATAATCAAGTCTGGACCAGACAATCCAGTGATTGGCATCATGAGCATCGATCTGCTGAAATTCGCATTACTGCGTATAATGAACATGAGAAAAAAAAGAATAGTTTCACATCAAAAGTAGAAATTTTCAATTCGCCAACTAGTTCTTTAAGGTGGAATAATTATTAACTGTTATAGCTATGCTTTTTGATATGGTACTTTTCCTAGTGCCTTTGACGTGGATTGAGTCTATGAAAGAGCATGTTAACTTCAAACAAACACACTTTCAAAATACAGGTTCGTGTGCCCAAATGAAATTCCTAATGTTCGCTCCAGACAAATACATTATCAATGTATACATACATACATATTACAGAAAGGATATTGACAAAGCCCCAGCTTGCACACCGGAATTCTAAGAGCCTGCAGCTTAAGAAAAATTCTGCCCTTTTGAGACACAACGTTTTTGTCAACACCCGGCGCTATCGCTGAGCTTCAGCAATCCACTGTGATAGTCATTACAGCTATTTTGATTTTGACGCCCGGCAAAAAAATCGAGATTGTTTATTCTTAAGCATTGATGTTTTATATTTCTTGAATGCTTGTTTACATAAGGAGTACTGGATGATAATAACATCTACAATTATATCAATTAATAGCTTTCTTAAGCCTGTTGTGTCTCGGTTTGTGTGACATGGATGTTGAGTGAGTGCGCCGCACTCAGCAATATTCCAGCTATATGGCGGCGGTCTGTAAATAATCTGGACCAGACAATCCAGTGATCAACAGCATGAGCATCGATCTGCGCAATTGGGAACCGATGACATGTGTCAACCAAACCAGCGAGTCTGACCATCGGATCCCGTTAGTCGCCTCTTAGGACGTCAAGCATGGGTTACTGAAGGCCAATATTCTAACCCGGACCTTCACGGGTCGAGATGGATTTTGAATATTGACCAAGCTACATATTTCAGTAAAATTTTAGCAAATAATCTTGTCCAGACGAGTAAGCCTGACCATCCCATCCCGTAAGCCGGAAGAATGCCTCGATTTTACACATATCCTCAACATAGTATTAAAATTACTGATTGGCATTTTCAAGTTTAATGCAACGCCATACACTCCCAAAATTAAAAAAATAAAGTTTATATCTCGTATGCCCATGGCGGGTGTTAATGATGATTACACATCCGCTGTGAATCGAGTGTATGAGGCGGTTGATGAAGGCCATAGGGACCTGCACTTACTTCCGCTGGAATGTCGGTCTTGGTTGGAGGCCAATATGGCTTCTTTCGATCACGCCCACCAGTATTTTATAGGAATCAAATCTAAACGGAGGGAAGGCGAAGGTATGCTGATGATGTTATTCTCCTGTAGGATGTCTCTAGTGGCTCTGGCTGTATGGAAAGAGGCGTTGTCTTGCAGGATTATGCGGCGTTTGTGACGGGCGAAAAAGGGAAAGAGTTACTCTCTGAGGAATCGGTAAATGTAGGGCTCCCTACCTGGGCCAGTATTTTGGGAAAATACAGGTCCAGTTGTTTGCTTCAGTACAATGCTGCCCCACAAAACGAAGCTTCCAGTTCTTGGCTTCAGTACAATGGTGCCCTACACCACGACGTTCCAGTTCTTTGCTTCAGTACAATGGTGCTCACATCACAAAACTTCCAGTTCTTTGCTTCAGTTCAATGGTGCCAACATCACGAAGCTTCCAGTTCTTTGCATCATTACAATGGTGCCCACATCACGAAGCTTCCAGTTCATTGTTTCAGTACAATGCTACCCCACACCACGAAGCTTCAAGTTCATTGCTTCAGTACAATGCTGCCCACACCACGAAGCTTCAAGTTCTTTGCTTCAGTACAATGCTACCCCACACCACGAAGCTCCCAGTTCTTTGACTGAGTCCAAAGCTGCCAAACACCACGAACTTCCAGTTCTTTGACTGAGTCCAAAGCTGCCCTACACCACGAAGCTTCCAGTTCTTTGATTGAGCCCAAAGCTGCCAAACACCATGATGCTTGGGCCTCCACATTTGTGTTTCTTTGCGTTTGCAAATCGTTATGCACGTCTGCGGGATACCCTGACCCCACCACCTCCTCCATTGCTGATGAGGCTAATCTTAAAGCGGTGTTGCTCATCCAAGTTTTTCCTCATGGTGTCGATCTGTAAGGATGGGCTCTCGAGCAGGACGCCGACAGAAGGTCGTTCTATATAGGCAGTGATAAGTCTCCCGTTTGAGTCGTGCTGTTTCAGTGGACCAGAATAAAAGGCGAAGGGGAGATGGCGACGATGGTTTCGATCGTGTTGAGGTGTTGAGACTCGGGATACTGACTCAGCAGAATGTCTTATGATTAAAGAAAGGGGGTTAGGTTTTTAATTTTTGGGTGTTGAGTGTCATAAGATTGCATTCCTTGCTTACGTGCCACTGACCACATTCTATGTTTGTGTTATGTCATTTGTGAAGTGTCATGCTCATGTCTGCTCAATACATTAGCAAGGGCTTGTCAATTTTTCACCTGAAAACATTCGTAAAATGCGTGATACAGATCAAAATAGGGAATTTCATCGAACATTATCTGTGTTACTGATGCGTCAATTTATAAGTTGTTCTCCGCATGTCTACCATAAGACTAATTTTTCGAAAGCTTTACTGAGACCTTGTATGTTGTAAGTTTGAGCGTACAATGTCTGAGCAAAATAACGCTCTTTAAAATCTTGGTAAATAGAATATGTATGGCTGTATCTCAAAAGTTGTGAAATGTGAACACCAAAGGCTGAAGATGATGGAATATTGCCCGAGAGGAACGGATATGGAAAGATATCGTCTTTTCTGTGCGTGTGTGTTTGGCTGCGTGCGTGCGTGAGTGCGTGTGCGTGCCGTGCGTGTGTGCCTACTTCTCGTCCAACATTTTATCCCCAATTGTACTTTGATGTTATCAATCACATCAATGAATCTTGGAGACAGGGATTAGGTCGTACATTTGCTGGGCAATATATCACTCTTTGTGGGGATGTTTTGGAGTGCAGTACAAGCTCTTTCATCAAACAGTAAATGTAGTGATGTTTACATATTGTGGTCATGTTATTTGAGGTCTTGTCATTGGAAACAACTACAAACTTCTCATGCATTGCAGATTTTGGACATCTAGCTCTGACAGAATAGGTTTCTGTTTCCTCAGTATCAGTTTCTGCATTCTACCAGACAACATCACGCACTGACTCAACCCACTCTGAAAGCTTCTTTGTTTTGGCATATGCTTCTACAGCTTCTATCATAATTTAAAAGTTGTAACGTATAGTTGTTGCAAAGGATATTTTGGTCCATATTTGAGTAGCTGATGAAGATTGTTAATAATGCGGAATTCACCTGTGATAATGTGACCTACAGTTTTGCTGCAGTACAATGAGTCTTGAAATGGAATCGACATCGTAAGCTGACAAGTCCATGTTCTGCCACACGTTCCTGTAATTGAACCAGCTGGATGAAATTGTGTTCGAATGGGAAAAGGAATTTGTTCATATTTCCTTAATCTGAAATATTGTGGTACATTAGAGAAAATATTTTGTCTCAGAAGGTTACTTATATTTATGGCATCAATTTCCTTGTTCGCAAATTTCAACTTTCAAAAATGCAGTCTTTGTCTAATTTAGGAGTCAATGAATTGTGTCATTTGGCCTTCGTCCCATCTTGTGACCATGGCTACTGAGCCAACGCCTTGGGTTGCCGGGAAAAGACCTAATACATATCTGTGATACTCTTGTAGTTTGTATCTAAAAAATGTATTCACGATATGGCTTAATTACTGTGACGCTTAACATAAACTCTCTCACTGTTTAGAAACGCTCGTCGTACATTTTGCCATTGCAGCCATATGACATTGCATCATATAACAGTCGAGTGAGTGAGTGAGTTTACGTTTATGGTCACATCAGCAGTATTTCAGCCATATCGTGACTAAAACTAGCTATAAAAGCATGATAAATACAGTTAAATTTTAAAACACCTGTCGACGAAGGACAGTAAACAACCAGAATATCACAGAAACAAGAATTAGAACTAGATATTAATCAGGACAATACAATATAAAAACGGGCTGAGAGTCGCCAGCAACTGAAGGTTCATCACCAACTAGGGACCATTGGGAATTACAGTGTTTTTGCTACCTGCGTGGACCCTAGTTGGATTTATACCATCCCTTCAGCTGCTAGCGATTGATCTGAGTTCAGCCATTATTTAAAGTAACAAGTATTCCACGATTAAAAGTTTGGTAGAACTAAATTTACCTGGAATGTTTTGGGACTAAATACCCTCTCAGGAGGACAACAGCCGAAACCTTTGATTTTTCTCGCGACAATAAACCTCTTTAAAGTTTTGCTCAGGGCTTGAATGATCGAACGTTGATCAAGCAATTTCTGAGCAAGGGTAATAGTTATTTACCTTCACCATCAAGTCAACTGAACTACATGTATTTGTGTTTATTTGTTTAGTGTGGTATTTTATATCCCCCACAATTAAGATTAAGTTTTAAGGCAACTATTATGTCAACCACAGAAACATCTTGTCCTGCAGCATATCTGCCAAGTCCTGATTATATCTGCTGTAAAATCCATCCAGTAGGATACGGGTCTTTTGAAGCATGGGTCCCATTCCTTTCTTCTTCTTACTGGCATTTTGATGAGGGACACGCGTGATGGAGGCCAGCCACTCTTCAGTATAATCTGAAGTAAAATGACACTTTGAATGATCTGTCCTCAAGTGGGAATATTGTTCTACGATGTTGATGCTATAAAAAGGTAAATGGTGACTACATCATTCTTCCTTTAATACTTCTTAGATTCCATGCAGCCGGCCATTGCTCATCGGAAACAATAATTGAAATAGAAGCGACACAACTCTTTCTACACCCACAGGAAAGCTCTGCTATGAGCAGAGTCGAGTGTACAATTCTGACTATATCATGAGTATGTATTTGTTTCAGCAGTATTGCAGCTGTTCGATGTTGTTTGTAAACAAGCGAGTCTGGACTGGACAATCCAGTGATTGTCACCATCCAGTACGATGACAGAGTATGTGTTTATGAATCGCTATGAAATAGTGATGTTACCATGTGTTCGCGAAAAGATGAACATATCCTGCCCCACCGGTGACACACGTCATGACTGACATATACAAAGTCTAGTCAATTGTTCAACTGAAATAATTCGGGAACGTGTGGTACAAGTCAAAAGAAACTTATGGAAAAAAGAGATGCAAAACTTACTTAGTTTCAAATAGTTGTACACTTTTCTTAGCTGAGCTTTTGGACCTTTATTGTGGTCCTCTGTTCGCAAGATCAGGAATTGGTCTCGCGGAAACACCTTCAGCCACTGTCGCATATACACCGAATAGCACCCAAAATAAATACGAGTCTGAAAGAAAATATATTGATTTAAGTATTATAAGTTGTATGCTTCTCTCGAGGGTAATACGGTCTGATGTACGCCTACCGGCTCGGGTAACACTGCTACAAAGAGGCGTACATCAGACCGTATTACCCACGAGAGAAGCATACAACGTATTTGTCTTACCGCCATGTTAAATGTTCAAAATATCATTGTATTTCATGTTAAAGATCTCTACTGACTATACGGCATGCAAACAAAATGGCGTCTGCCTCTCGACTGGATTTTTAACATCAGTGAAACATATTCTGACAAGCATAAAACTGCTATAAAAATTGTTAATTATGTTTAAGCTGAGTGTGCAAACCACTCAATGTATAAAATAGCTTCAATAAAGTAGTGAAAGTCGGTAAAATAAATCTGTACAAAGTGAACACAACAACAGCTGATCGAACGGTTTTCGAACTCCGGGCACGGCATGCGTCATATTATGACGTCATACGATTGTTAGTGCTTCAGCTATTCGGCGGAGAGCTTGGCGGTTACCGTGGCAGCGGGTAATATTTTTTCCAGTACTCACCCTCCTAGGAAGGTGACACGGAAACTTGTTAAACCGTCATTGACCAATGAAATTAAAGTAATTTAAATGAAGATAAGATAATTTTTTTAACAGTTGTTGGAATGAACTTAGAATACATTTACCGTAGTCCAACAATATTGATAAATGTGCATGACATTATTGAGTGAGTGAGTAAGTATAGTTTGACGCCGCTTTTAGCAATATTCCAGCACATTCGTAACTACTCGCCTCTTTCCGTGACCTACAAGAAGACTCGTACCCCTATCGTACGCCATTATTGCCAAGAATCGTGGCAAACGAATCAAATCGCGCGTAATAAAACGCATTTCGAAGCAAGAAAATGGCGGCACCGTTGAACACTGAAACTTTCCTAAGCTAACATAAACTTTGAGCTAAGGATCAGCAACTTTAAACCCTGAAACATATTTACAAAGGGAATAACTGTATTGCTGTTTTGCCCACGGGATATAGGATATTCTAGGAGCCATGTTTAGAAATTCAGAGTTATCTTTCCTTGCTAATAGTACTAGACTATTTTCACCTCCATGCCCGTTTGCGCTTAGACAGGACCCAGTCGTAAACATGGCCACGAGAGGGGTACGAGACGCCATCCGGCTTGCCGGAATTACACGAGTAGTTACGAATGATTCCAGCAATATCACGGCGAGGGATCTAGAACTGGGCTTCACACATTGTACCAATGTGGGGAATCGAACAACACGAGTCTTCGGCGTGACGAACGAACGCTTTAACCACCAGGCAGCCCCACCGCCCGATATTCTTGAAGATCACTAGTTACTAGTTTTCAGAAATTCTCACTCGAAGTCTTCGTGATATGTCCAGGCTGAACAGACATTGTTCCACAGTGTGGTTCTTCATGCAGGCCTCCTCGATCTGAATAGTGTCACTGACAGCTTCATGGAAATCCTCAGCAGAGCTCCCTCCTAACATCGTGTAGTCGGAATATAACCTGCAATAACATTACATAAGGTAACAATTCTGATAGATTTCACTGAAAATATTACCTAAGAAATTTGCTTCTTCAATGTTATAATTAGTAGCTTTACAAAATTGCTTTGCTCAGGTTACTATCTATCTACTATCGTTTACTTATGTTAAGTTTAAATAAATAAAATAAGTATTATGATACATGATTGGACTTTAGGTATTTAGTCTCTTTCACAATGAATAGGATCCTTCATTTCAGTGTTCATTTGATTTTAGACTTTGATGATTAAAACACCCCAGATCAAACATTGCATTTCTACAGACATAAGTTCAATAGTGACGAAGTACCAACAGGTTGCTATATTTTTGTGTGGACATGTTCAAAACATTCAAGTTTAAATTGCCTTTTCTCATTCTGTGACAATACCTTTGGATACCCTTCCACGGTGATCGTGGATGCCTATATAAAAGCAACAAGCCCTTTGTGCGTCGATGCGAAATATCTGCTGAAGGCAAAGTCGATAGTACAATTCTAACTTTATCATGAATCACAATCAAGAAGAGTTCAAGCCAGGTGCTCAGAAAAATGTCGTACGTATGCTGCCCCATCGGTGGCACCCGTCAAAAACAAATGCAAAGAAACCTCAATTGTTCACCCGAAGAAACGTATAGAGCAAGTAAAGAGAGTCTCAAGTTACTTCGACCATAAGCCTTTTGTGAGCTTTTTCAAAAGAAGCCGACTTGACGTCAAAATTCACTGGATTACATGCCTAAATGGACCCTTAATTTCAAGCACACTATTTAAAAACCTGGAAATGCGGCCAGTTTTCAAATTAAATTGACACAACAAGAGTCAAAATCATTTGAATTTTCTACTTGAACAATACCTTGTGTGATTCCGATGGCGGAATCGGTTACCTCTAAAAACACCGGAACCCTTATGTCCATCATAAAACCTGTGGAATCAGGTATAAGCCTTATAACAGTATTATAGCAGGAATGGTAGGGCGCTTTGTGAAATCTATGTAGAAACTGCATGTTCGATTGTACTTCTGAAATTGTGAAGGCGTCAAATGTGGAAAATATAGGGAAAGACTCACTACTTGAAGGTTGAAGTAACCCCTCTTGTCATGCATCGACCTACATATAGAACAGTAAGTGGTCTCCTCAATTTTTGGAGGGGAATTGGATGTCACTCATACACCTGTAGCTCAAGTTAAACTTCTTGGACAAATTACCTACTTTTGACTCATGTGGATGAAGTAAGAGTTTTTTAACGCCGCTATAAGCACTATTCCAGCAATATGACGGCGGGGGACACTAAAAATGGGCTTCAAGTATTGTACCCTGTGGGTGAATTGTTCGCTTGTCCGAAGGTCCGGGTTCGAGTCCCCGCATGGTTACAATGTGTGGAGCGCACTTCTCATGTCCCTCACCGTCATATTGCTGGAATATTGCTAAAAGCGGCGTAAAACCCAGATCACTCACTCACTCATGCTCACAATATGGGTCTCACTGGTTGCCAAGGGAAGTCTTTCAATCATGAGTACGAGAATTTGCTGTAGAGTTGTCGGGAGAAAAGGATGTCGTCAAAGAGTGATTCAAATCTGAGTTTGTCATAGTGTTGGTGTCTGGCTTCTGGGCTGGTTACGACATGACCGCAATGATCTCCTGCTCAGCATAACCAAACCCCTGGCGCGATCAGGTCATGTGTAAAATCTGATTTCATCAGCATATCACCTCATGAACACAAAAGCCTACAGGTTAACCAGTCATTGCGCCCGACTGTAGCTTCACTGATCCCAGATCATGACTGAGCCTCCTCCATATTCGTCATGTGCGAATACTGCAAGCCACACTTGGGTACAACGATATCCGAAGTCAAGACATTTCGATTCATGAAGAGCACCAGAGCCCAGTCCAGTTGACGTAATTTTCACCTAAATACAAAAGTGCCTGCCTCTGATTGCAGATTAGAATAGAGACGATTACACTGTGAGTAGAAAAGTTCCACAGGTCGTTTCTGAGAGCACTTGCAATATAGAAAAGTTCCACAGGTAATTTCTGAGAGCAGTTGCAATCATTGAGTGATGACGTTTTGCTACAAGAGGCACCAGTCACCTCGCTGTCCGGTGGAACGCTGTATGTCTGTCGTTGGTATTTGATCAGAAGGTCCGGTACAGATTTCATACCCTGCTGATCACGTTTTGGCTGACACCAAAGATGTTTGCAACGTGACGTTGTGTTGCCCCGATGAAGGGACATGAATGCTTTCATTTGTTGCAATCCTCAGTACCAAATGTAGTTGTGCTCTCTAACACACGATACATACAAACACAACACCAGCACCTCGAACATACCGTGACCATGACTTCGTGTCTCTATTAGTTGGTGGTACCATTATTTGTTGGAAAAAAATCTGATATCATTAAAACTTGATCCGTGCGAAAATGTGATCTGTCTTTCAATACACAAACAATCTCTTTAAGATAATCAATTAAGATAGTTCTGTAAAGACAAAACAAGTTCCCACCTCTCAGTTGGATTTCTAAAGATGAGGATGAACTTTGGATCTGTATACACGCGTCTCATAAGATGGGGTGTCAAAACCACCGGTTTCTCTAATCCTGCATTTTGAGGTATTTTGGTCCAACCTCGGAAATCGCTAAAATCCCCTGGAGTTCCGTCACCTGGACGAAATGAGTGAGTGAGTGATTGAAGTTGTAACGCCGCGACGAAAGAGGAATCAAAAGGAAGTTATGCAAATCTTTGGCATTTACCACTTTCGCGAAACCCGGAAGTATAATGACGACAAGCTGGACTATGTTATCCTACCTGTAATCATGTTGTGGTATCCTGATTCTGTAACTTTCTGTTCTATCTTTTGTGCCGCGATAGTGAACTTTTGTAGATGGCAGCTGAAGTTGCATGCTCTCCCCGCTTCCTTCATGCTGAGTGTATAACCTGTGTAAAAGCAAATGATTTGAAATATCAATGCTTTATTCTCTCCTAGTACACTGGTGAACAAGTATTTTTCATCATAAGCAAACTTACTTTAACGTGTCTTACATTGGATCACAGTATACCCGAGAAGATCTAGAAATCTAGAAATGGTTTAGACAAGCAACCCATGCTTGGCGTAAGATCGGGTGGCCAAGTTCGCTGATTTAGTTAACACATGTCATCGTATCCCAACTGCGATTGATGCTCATGATGTTAATCACTGGATTGACAGGTCCAGACTGGATTATTGACAGACCGTCGCCATAAAGCTGTAATATTGCTGAGTGCGGCGTAAAACTATACTCAAGCAATCACTACTTGAAGGTTGAAGTCATCCCTCTTGTCATGGAGAGATGTTTGTCACTTTAATATACAGGCGAGCAAAATACAAAACACCAATAACAAAATCATAATAACAGATTTGGGTGTTACAGACAAAAAAACAACCCCCCAAAAAAATATTTGTAAACAAAAACTTTCAAAAAGCCCCAACCCTGAGAGTAAAGTATTGTCGATACTGTTCTGTGAAGCCGTCAGCCCCATTACTCTTGTAAACAACCACTTTGTTCTCTTCTGATATCTGGCAATAGCAACTGCCCTGCGTCGGATAGTGTTTGCTATCCGATATAACCTTGAACCTTTATATTAGTATATACACCTTGAAAGAGTTAAGCATCCTTACATATTTTGACCGCTGACAGGACTAAGTCCAATTCCAGCTTGTGTTGACCGCGGCAACGCTGGAGTCTATGGACTTTGTGAAGAATATATTTATCCGATGACGGCTGAATCCATGTACCCGGGTTCGAATCCCCACATGGGTTCAATGTGTGAAGCCCATTTCTGGTGCCCCCCCTGTAACTGATATTTGAGAGTTTGGAGGCAGCGAAATACAACACTTGCATTCAACCACCTTTTGCCCTTGGTGGAGGTTCCGTCATGGTGTGGTGATTTGTCTCTCATGATTGAAGACTTGACTTGGTGATCAGTTTATTCCTGGATCCAGTCGTTGTCCCCAAATTTGATAATCATCCCCTCGCGACAAGACCTGCATTTATGGATGACAAAGCAGGGCCATACCGTTCAGTGACAGCTTCCATTCAGAATAATTCACCTTCCGTGCCTACCACGAGTCCATATCCCCTTGAGCACGTTGCTGGGACTGTATCGGGCGAGGGATACAGGCACGTGTTCCAGCTGTAAAATCCGCTCGAGCAGCTTAGTACCAAAAATGGCGACAGTATCCTCTGCAACGGATACGACAACTAACGGTGGGTATGTAAGGAGGGTACAGGCAGTAATCCAAGCACGTGGAAAGTACACTATATGTTGACTGTAGGATGTTCACAGGTAACAAATTAACATCTCATCACATACACTCCATGTTGCTCGATCCCCTCTCTAGGGCCAGACCCGTGAAGGTCCGGGTTAGAATACTGATCTTCAGTAACCCATGCTTGTCGTATGAGGCTGGATTATTTACAGGCCGTAAAACTCAATCACTCACTCACCCACTCTAGCGCCATACTTGTAACAGGCATCATTTTCATCCAAACAAGATGATTTATGTATTGTGCTATCCATTGTTAAACCGTTGAAAGAAGCTGTCTTTTTATGTTATGTTTTCTTGCAGTCAAGACACGATCTTTCAGAAAAAACATGCTGCTCTACTGTGCGTGGACACCACTGACGTCATCCGTAACGTACAACTTTGTGAAAATTACAATTAAATTCTTTCTATTTGTATATGTTCTAATGAGTGAGTGAGTGAGTTTAGTTTTGCGCCGCACTCAGCAATATTCCAGTTATATGGCGGCTGTCTGTAAATAATCGAGTCTGGACCAGACAATCCAGTGATCAACAGCATGAGGATCGATCTGCGCAATTGGGAACCGATGACAGCGAACATGACCACCCGATCCTGTTAGTCGCCTGTTACATATGTTCTAATAACTTCTAAGTTCATTGACAAATTTGATTTCTCAAATGTGAAATCATGATGTCTGTTGCTTATTTGCTCCGTTAGTTGCCAGAACATAATATCTTGATTTGTGGCCCATAAAGACGGAACTTGCTCTCTTGAACACTACACTCACAGCACAACATTACATAGAGGAGTCACTGTTGTGCTTGCATATTTACTCCATGGTAAATGTTACCCTTCCGGTACAAGGCTGTGTCACATTTGTCTGTCTATAAGGAAACAAACATTACTGGTTTATATGTACCTGTACACCAGTCAATGTGTTTAAAATATTCGTCAGTCATTCCCTCACCTGGTATAAATTATATATTAATTAACAATTACCATATCTTAAACGGCTCCAATAAAATATTTCCTTCTGTTTGTAACAATCATTGCATCCAAGGACGTCTTCATGGGCCAGTATGCGGTAGGAGAGGTCGGTGGTCCCCGATTTGGCCACTCCAAGAATGTGGTAGTATGGGACGCACTTAAGATGGAGCTTTCCATTCTCTATTGCGTACCAGCAGGGATTCTTAAAGTTCGGCAGATATTTGGGACTTTCCTGTAAAATAAGACACAGCATTTCTTAATACCACTTCATTGATGGTACTTATTCATATAGCATGATTCGCACAACAGCATCCTCTTGGTGAGTGAGTTGGTTTTAGTTTTGTGCCGCTCTTAGCAATATATTCTAATATCATGCATTATCCACGAGATGACCATTCGAGACCCAATAATATACTAACGTTGTCCATTGTTATTCATTCTGTAGACATGAGTGTGCAACACATTTCCTCCAATTCATAACTCATCTTTATTCCAAAATGATAGAGACGACCTCGGATGATGATACACATTCAAGCCACAACGAACAGCTAATTGACAACCATATTAAAATTCATGCATACACGTCCATTCACTTCATCAATTTACGTGACCTTTGTGTGTGCAGTCATGGTTTTGGAAACAAAATATTATGATATTTTCATCGACACCCGTCTACACGCCTGGTACTTCATAGTGAAATGATTCTTAAATATCCAGATATTTCAGTGGGATAAAGCGTCTGTGAATTGTGTGTCCAGTGTGGACAGTATTGGATGAGAAGATAGTATGGTCGTGTAATGCCCTTAAGCGAGTGAGTTTTAGTTTTGCGCAGCTTTTAGCAATATACAAGCAATATCACCACAAAATGGGCTTTACAGATTGTACCAATGTGGGGAATCGAACCCGGGTCTTCGGCGTGCCGAACGAACGCTTTAGCCACTAGGCTACCCCACCGTCCCAATACCGTTAAGAATATTATGTGGTAACAAGCATCCCGGTAACATCTGCTAAACAATATTTCAATATTTTCACATTGCCAAAAGAAAAAAAGGGAGCTCATAAAATATCCAAATGTCATGATGATAACAATATAGTATAAAAGAGCACAGTTGAGGAAAAACATAAAATGTCTGTCAATAGTCAACGTCATTTCATCGCATTTGTTTTCTCTGTGATCTGGCTACGAGCAGGAGGTCGAACCACCGACCATTCGATCTCCGGGCTTACTCTGTATCCAATAGACTAACTGAAGAATATTATTTTAGTGTAGTCAAAGTAAAAGCTTACTGTATTGCATTGTGTAAGTTCCGCTGCCCCAACCATGACCTAATGATTGAGTATGGAAGACGTCTCAAACTTGACCGCAAAGATCGTCTCTGCCCATTTTGTGTTAGACCTAATATTGAATCCGAATTACACTTCTGTCTTGAATGTCCATTTTATCACGACCTGCTATCAGATCTCTTGCAAGAATTTTATTATGTTTTTCCATCTAGCAACAAGCTTATCTTATTATTCCCATAAAAAACCTATGTTATTATAAACAATCTTGCTAAATATATTTCTTTAGCACAGAAGAAACGAAACAAATATTTTTCATCATGTTGATGCTATCAATGTTCATTATAATATTGCCTAAAACATAACACCTGTATATGTGAATGTCGTGGCGCTTCGTCAACGTATTGTAGCACTAATGTACATGTATAATGGGCCGGTGACCCCTTTATCGGAATAAACTCTCTCTACTCGTATTCATGATTTTGCTATCATCATTAAAGAAGTAGTAACGTGATCACTGTTGCATTGTTAAAATTGTGGAAAGAAGCTATCTAAATGTAAATGCTGAGATTAAAACAATATTAGTCTTTTGAAATGAAGCATGAAAAACATAAAGCACCTGTTTGACAACTGATTATAGGAATAATTAAGTTCGGCGATGGAACCGGTCTTTGGAATTAACTTTATCAACCATTGATCGCCTCCAGCCGAGGTATAATTTTCTCTGCAAAAGGGACGGTGGGGTAGCCCAGTGGTGAAAGCATTCGCTCGTCACGCCGAAGGCCCAGGTTGGATTCCACACATGGGTACAATGTGTGATGGACAATTCTGGTGTACCCTGCTGTGATATTGCTGGATTATTGCTAAAAGCTGCGTAGAACGCAACTCACTCATTCACTCGCTCACTCACTCACTCCCTCATATTCCCAAAATAAGAAGCAAACCTTTTACATACCATACAGAATAAATCCTCTGCCGTGTGTGCCCCTCCTCCCACACACCGAATTCCATGCTTCTGTGACTCATTGTCTACTTTCTTGGATTCAGACAGGTAACCATGTGAAGATATGATGTTGTTCTTGATGCCATAAATGGCCATTCTACTGCCGTGCCATGCCACAAGCCATAGTGAAGCGCAAACAACCAGAATCAATAACACCCGTTGTTCTAATTTGAACTTCATCGTGACTTGCTGGAAAATGATACATATTCCATATTGCTATCAAGTTAATAATTAATGTAAAACCCTCTCGAAGATGGACAGATCAATAACGACTCATGTACAGCAGAAATATGTGGTGTTTACGAACACGTGGACAAACATTTACAGTTATATATGCAACAGTAAAACTCTCCCCTACAACAGCCCAAAAGGCAGTCCCAAACAGCAATCTTATGAACACAGTCGGATTAATTAAAATTAGCGTATCTTCGGCTCATTTTGCAGTTAATCCAAGTATCAAGATTGTAAAAATGTAAAAAATGTAAAAAAGAAGATTGAGGCCAAAGAGTTACTTTGAACAGTTGTTGTGAAAAGCTGTGTTTATCTGAAAACTTAAATACAGATTTAAACTTACCTCTGTCCGAGAACTGGATGCGACTGTATTGCTGGCACATACCAAACTGCTTTGGCTTTCCACAAATTATTTTAACATATTTACATACCGTACTTTTCCAGAAACAAGTATCTGCTCAATCGCTGTTTATTTGTTTCCCGACCGTATTTATTCAAATTATTACTCTCAACTCCTTGAGGAATAAGCAACCCAAACTGAAAACGGATAACAAAGATATATTACCTCCCTCTCGCATATAGGATACCGATTTTCTGCTGGGTTGATAGAGGGACGTTTGGACTGAGTCAGTAACCAAGGATGTTACCAGACGATCTGAACGTATACGTGTGTCCACCATCTGGTGATCCACCATCTCGTGATGACAGATTAGTGCAGCATACAACTGCATCAGGTTGCAGCGTTCAGGTCAGGAACATATATATCATATGGCTGTCAGATTACGGAAGTGTTGAAATATACGAACACTCAATTCTGTATTTACAAGTGTTTCATAAGTGTGTAAATCTGGCCATTGGTTTCATGTGTTTTCTGGCACGTGTAACAAACATAAATCCTGTGAATAATACCCTTTAAATCGGGTATGACCAGGGTTAGGTTTGTCATATATTTGATACGTGGTAATGGGCAAATGGAGTGTTGCAACACTGACATTAATTTAACATGTATTTCAATGATTGGTAATATAACTGTACCATCGGGTTCGTTAGCGGCCCCGAGCACGCCATAATGCACTGAGATCATTAGAAGCACATAGTGAAGAGATACCCATGACTGAGGACCTACAATTTAAAGGGCTTTCTTGACCCACACATAATGTCTTTTGAAGAGGTTCATATATCGGGTCGATGGGTGAGAATCGGACATTTCTGTTTTCTATAGTACTTAGCATGTTATGTAAGTGTAGGGCGATGAGTATTAAATACTTGCAACATGGATGTTATTGGTACTTATATACGAGTGTTTGGTGATTGGGAGCTTTTGGCCTTTTCTGGTCAGTAGGTAATAACTTTGAACAATAATGTTGCAGAAAGTGTAAACATGCACATTCTTGCTATAACCTCTTTTAATTCGGAATCCAGACATTACCCCGTACGGAAGGTTTCTCAAATATCAGTTACCTGCCAAAATATACCCCCACCTTTTTCACAATATCTATTTGGATTCATATTTAGGGTAGAAACTAGAAAATGTTCATGATTACAATTAGTTTATAAGCTCATATAACTAAGCAGGTTCGTTATCATGTATCGTAAAAAGAAGTGTTAGTGTCCGTAATCCAGTTGAAGATCGAGTTGATAGTGTTGACGTATTTGGTATCTGTGTCGTTTTAAAATATATTTTACATGTTAAGCCAATACTATTCTTTCGAAACAAAGGGGGCGGTGGAGTAGCCTAGTGGTCAAAGCGTTCACTCGTCACGCCGGAGACCCAGGTTCGATTCCTCACATGGGTACAATGTGTGAAGCCCATTTCTGGTGTCCCCCGCGTTGATATTGCTGGAATATTGCTTAAAGCGGCGTAAAACTATACTTACTCACTCGAACCAAATGCCAAAACACTTGTCTGCAGCAAACATTCGTCGTTCATCGTGTTCTTTGAAATAATTGGAAATGTTGTTCATTTATGACACAAGTTTAAATACTAGTACCCTTAGAATTGTGTATGACCAGGTTTAGATTTATCCTATATTTCATACGCTCGTGAATGCTAGGTAAATAGGTAAATGGATTATTACCATATGGCCTCGCCAGGAAGGATACTACCACGCCAAATGTCGTTCATTTCCCGATTTGATCATGTCGCATGACTACGTTGTCAGTCATTAAGTTAATGAACTGACAATAACTCATGGAATTGGCTCACGTGAATCACTATCTTCATCAGCTGATGAACGTCAACAATACAACGCCAGTCCTAAAATACTGACAGCTCAGGTCACAAATCAGTTGAAGTTAAGCAACGTTGAGCTCGGAGAGTCCTTGAATGGGAGACGGTCCATATAATGTCTGTTCAGCCTGGACATATTACAAAGACTTCGAGTGAGAATTTCTGAAAACTAGTAACTAGTGATCGGGCGGTGGGGCAGCCTAATGGTTAAAGCGTTCCTTCGTCACGCTGAAGACTCGGGTTCGATTCTCCACATGGTGCAATGTGTGAAGCGCATTTCTGGTGCCCTGCCGTGAGATTGCTGGAATATTGCTAAAAGTGGCGTCAAACTATACTCACTCACTCACTCAAGAATGTCATGAACATTTATCAATATTGTAGGACTAACAGTAAATCAATTCTAAGTTCATTCCAACAACAGATAAAAATATATACTAAAATTCATATATTTTCTTTCAGACTCGTATTTATTTTGGGTGCTATTCGGTGTATATGCGACAGTGGCTGAAGGTGTTTCCGCGAGACCAATTCCTGATCTTGCGTACAGAGGACCACGATAAAGATCCAGAAGCTCAGCTAAGAACAGTGTACAACTATTTGAAACTAAGTAAGTTTTCATCTCTTTCTTCCATAGCTTTTTTTTTACTTGTACCACACGTTCCCGAATTATTTCAGTTGAACAATTGACTAAACTTTGGGTAGGAGAGTGGCAGGAGGCAGGACGGCCGCCATTTTGCTGCGGCAATATGTCATCGGACAAAAATCAGAATCAACTGAGAATCCCAAGCTTGACAAGTTTTGGCCC